CCACTTCCGCATCATTTCCGCCCCCTTTGAGAATGTCCATGCCCTCAAGGACTCATCCTCAACCATCCAAACATCGGGCACCTCTTCGATCTCGACCATTTCGACCATCATGTGCATCTCCTCGCCAAGGCCCTCTTCGACCATGACTACCTCGCTCTCGGCGTCCTCGACGTCAAAGTGCGACACCTCTTCATCGCTCCTATCAACCTTAATGGACTCCTCCTCCTTGACTTCGACCAGTTCAGCTCCTTTGGCCTCGATCGATTCTGGAAACTTCTCATTGGACTCGGCTTGTTGCTCTTCCTCCATGATCTTGAGTTGTTGTTCGAGCTTCTCCTCGAGATCTCTTTGCTCGTGCAACTCCTCCAAATATTTTTGCTCCCATGGAGTTAATTCTCTTTCCAATCCCATGGAGTCAATTTTTTTCAATGAGATGCTCTTTTGTAGCACAGTATGGTTTAAGTTGTGTGGAAGATGTTGATCCTTCTATATGACCGAGTGTTTTCGGTACAACCGGTAATATACTTCGTATTATTGGAGTAGCAAGTATAATACCATATATAAACTTTAATATTAAATATGAAAAAGTGTAAAAATAAATAGTTATAAATTTATAATTACCAAGTCTTCAGCTTCTCAATAAAATAAAAATAAGACTTTTTTTTTTTATTAATGGAATGATAGGAGTTTAAAAAAAAAAACACATAATTATATTTAACAATAGCCATAATAAATTAAACAGTCATCTAGCTGAATCTAGTGAGAGGACAACTTAGACACTACAACGTACTCACGATAATAATAATGTCCCTCCCGAAAAGAGAATCAACACAACGCACCCAAAGGGAAAATCAACCCACAACCATAAAACAAACAGCACAAACAACGCACACGCACAACATCTAAAACGACAACAAAAACACCTAAAACATAACAAAAAAGATCAAAGCCCTCCCAACAATCGGCAACCGCTCCAACATAACACCACATAAGACAAGAGCCGACGACAACACCTCCAAGATAGACCAAAGCTCGAAACTCAACCTATCCACTCGTTTCACCCAAGGATGACAGACTAACATAGATCCAGCACAGACGAGCTAGGACCAAATCGGAGTCACACCCGGGAGGCCCACATCAACCCCTACCCCCACACAACCCCGACTAGAGCCCCTCAAAACCAGCTAAAGGCTCAAGACAGATGGAAAGCCCCATCTCAAACCCCAGGAGACGAGGCAAAACAAGAGGACCCGTCGTCGGCCTCGTTCCAGCCCCTCGGAGGCCCGACGGACTGGACCAGCAGAAGACAAACTCTTCAGAGGAAAGAAAGATGGAAGCCACATTCGAGCGGTCATCTCCATGAGTAATTGGTGCACCAGCTGAAAGGAGGCGGTAGGAAATTGTAGACGACGAGGGTTTGAAGGATGATTTGGAAGCTTTTTAAGTGGAGAGAGAGAGAGAGAGAGAGAGAGAGAGAGAGAGAGAGAGAGAGAGAGAGAGAGAGAGTTTGCCTCGAGGATTGTTTATATTTTGTTTCAGCTTTTTTGAAATAAGACAAGTTCAAGTCTTATTTTCAAGTAAAAAAATAAATTCTTTTTTTATGATGCTCTTAGTGGAATATACTTGAAGAGCTTGTGTTTTCAACTCAGGCTTTATATTTTTATCTGATTACAAACTTAGTCATCGAATCTAGGCAAATCAGCAAGCAATGTAATAGCATAATATTTATTTTGGGATCCTCATTCAATTTGAAAAAAAAAAGAGAGAGAAAGAAATAACAAGTAAAATTAGGTTCTAAAGTAGACACATGACCTGCATGCTGGATGTGTAATGAAATTTACTACTATAGGACACTAATATCTGAACCTGCAGATTCAACAAATTTTGCCGATACTGCCTCTACATCCAATCTAAAACATGACAGTATTATCTCTGCCCAGAACAAACTTTAATTAAATTATAAATAAACAAATAAAATGTACTTATATGCTACGATCTTATGCCCCAAAGTAGAGCAGCCACAAGTTATTGCCACGGGACGTACTTAAATAGCATAGTTTGAGGGAAAAAAATGGTGCAGAACAAGCCTAAAAAAAACTAAATAAAAATTTAACAATATTTAAACCCAGTCAAAATATGAGAATGGAAGTCTCAAATTGTTGACATTAGCTAGGCAACCTCACATATATAGCATATCTTCAACTACATTTCATTAGCATCCGATCGAGCTCATCGTAATAGGTAGCATCTAACTAGAAATTAATACGAAAAAATATGATAATACGCATAACTGATGAAAGGCAAAAAAAATAACAAGATACAAGTGAAGCATAAAATTTAGGTCGAGCCAACTGCCCAAAACAGTGCACTACGGCACATTCAAGTGTAGGAACTAAGTACTTGAGCAAATTCAAAATTGGTGTTCATGCCTAATGACAACCCATGAAGATGAAGCTGAGGATCAATTTTCGGTATACGTAGTTGAATGAAAGAGAGATCATTTCAGTAGAGTTCAATTACAAATATTTTCAGATCTATCACATAAATTGTTTGTGAACTAAAATGCAAAAGCAAGCATTAAGTCAGTGAAGATAATTAAAGATTAAAAAGCTTAAGAACACAATGACTTAGAAAACAGAAGCAAAAGCGAATGAATGAAAAAAGTTGAGGTAATTAACCACACATTATCTCTGAAAGAAGAAATAGCCACGTATATTATCAACGATTTATGGCTAAAGCCTCCAAGATACGACAATTTTTGACTTATGTATATTAATAACACAAATACATGAACCTTCGGCCAACACTACTAATATTTCTGTACTCGAAAAAATGTAGAAACACAAGAACACAACATGAATATATATGAACTTGAATACAAAAAAAACTCTTAATTTTCAAGTAAATGATGGTGGGTGACATTCATGAGATATTTATAGACGCAGCTCAGGTTTTCCTACACGTCTAACTTAGAATTATTCTTTTTCATTTTACCATAAAATGGGTTTGAGTTTCTTTCCATGTTCTTCCATTTAGGATAAATGAACCGGAAAATCAGTATAAAACTAATTTTCCAGACATCCACACTGAAAAGAGATTTGATAAGAAAAGAAAAACAAGGAATTATAAAGAAAATGCACGCACACACACACACAGACACACGACCTCAGCATCAAACTCATTTCATCTTGGCCTCGGTGAATAAGACATGGCGATTCACTCGAGGATCGTACTTTCGGAACTCGAGCTTTATGTTATTGCTCTGAAGCCTCTTTGTCTTTTTCACCACGTGGAAAAACCTTATCCCGACAGTCGAGACGAGCCTCACCAGCATAGCGCCAGCCTTCTTCTTCTCACCCATTTTATTTTACCTAATAAAAAGCAGCAGTAGCAGGTGATCACAACTTTATTTATTTTTTTAATAAAACTGAGGAAAACCTCTATTGGGAATAATATCAAACAACGTTGGAAAGAAAAAGAACATACGTACAGGTATGGGTAGAGCAAGCAACAAGAACAAATTCATTTCTGATACTCAATCTTCGAGAAAGTAATCTTTGAGGACTAACATCAAACACTAAGTATACAATGTATCTCCTTATAAATTCTACTGGTGAGTGAAAAAGTAAATATAGATATGTTTTAATATATCCAAGGACAATACACACCAATGTTAAGCTGCGCCAAACGAAATGGCTTGAGAGAATTACCAGTGCAAGTGCTGTGAAAGAGAGAGAGAGAGAGAGAGAGAGAGAGAGAGAGAGAGAGAGAGAGAGAGAGAGAGAGAG